AGTAGAAGTTGAGATGGAGGTAGTTGTTGACAGGAGGTTGTGTGCGGGTAGGAGTAGGAGAACTTGGGCCAGGTCTCGCTTGAGCAGTTCAACGCCTTCTCTTGACGTTCTTTTCAGTTTGGAGCTTCCTTATCATTGAAGGACTCGCTATAAGTAGTCGAATATGAGGGCCTCGGGGTAGCATTGCGTGTACGATGAGACGTAGGGGAGATGTCCAATATAGAATGATTGGTAACTGAGAAGAACTCCGGCATCGATCCGTTTGTGGGTCGAAATAGCGCATTGACATCACGTGCTCGGATAACCTTCCTTCAAGGGCTAGGGAACCAACATCCCCAAATTTGTTCTCCGCACGCGAGCCTCCTCGCCTCGTCTCCGCGCTCCTGCAATTTCCTCCAAGCCCTCCAGGGCCCCAGGCTCGAGGCGCCTCCAACCTCAAAACCACTTCAAGGCCCCTTATGCCGGGCTTCGCCGTTCTTGCCGTACAAAGGAAGCCAGAGCGAGCCGGTGGATTTTGCGGGGAGAGACTGAACGAAGCTGTTGCCCATTGAAACCAGTCATACTCTCAACGTCAATGAGGAAATATGTAGGCCCTCTCTATCATAAGAGGTGAGACACGAGAATTGAGGCATTCCACATCAACTAGTCGTTCTGCCATGGCAGACCAGAATCATCCCATATATCCCGACCTTCGCAGCAAAATCGCCCTGGTCACAGGTATCGGCCAAGATGGCCCGCCCAGCGAGACCACAAATTGGGGCAACGGTGCTGCCATTTCGCTTGCCCTCGCTCGCAATGGCGTCAAGGTCTTTGGCTGTGACATTAACCCCGATGCCGCCAAACTCACAAAGTCCCGCATTGAAGCAATCGTCCCTGACGCCGTCGTTGACGTGGTCGTTGCCGACGTGACAAAATCCGCCGACGTGGACAGGTTCGTCCAAGATTGCATCAAGAAACACGGCCGCATTGATATCCTAGTGAACAATGTTGGCCGCAGTGAGAAGGGCGAACCTGCCGATATGAGCGAAGAAGTCTGGGACTCGCAGGTCGATATTAACTTGAAGTCCGTGTACCTTACCTGCCACGCGGTGCTTCCAATCATGGAGGCACAAGGCTCTGGGGCGGTCATCAATATCAGCAGTGTCGCCAGCATTCGCTATGTGGGGAAACCCCAGGTCGCATATTCGGCGACAAAGGCCGCCGTCACGCAATTTACCAAGCACACTGCAGTGGTATACGCGAAGAAGGGAGTTCGACTCAACACGGTCCTTCCGGGACTCATGTTCACTCCGCTCGTGCAGACGCTGGCCAACAAGTATGCCAATGGTGATTACGAGGGGTTCGTGCAGACGAGACACAACCAGGTACCGACCGGGAAGATGGGTGCTTCCTCTGACGTTGCCAACGCGGTGGTCTTCCTGTCGAGCAACGTTGCGGCCGGATACATAACGGGACAGAAACTCGTGGTCGACGGCGGCATTGTTTCGAGTACGGGGAGGACGTAGAAAAATGCCTCGTGAAAACGAGTAGATATCCTTGCACTAGGGCTTCCCGGAGGGCCAGTTTCCGAGAACTTGCCACTATTATTTGGCGAAATTCCAAAAATGGGTAGAGCACAATGCTCAGGTTCGCCATGTGGGCATAACATATCGATCTTTCGGAGCTGACTCGTGTACCACTCAGTCGACAGAGCGCTCTGCTCTACTTTACTCTGCCTCGGTAGCCGAAAACGAGATAGGTAGGTTAGAGTTAAGCCTTCTGGGATAATTTTAAGGTTATCGACCTATCTCACCAACCAACGTTCGATACAGGAACGAAAATCAAAGGAGTGGCCTTGCTCGTCTATTTCCGCCCGCCCATTAATGAATGAGTACGAATGCGTATATGTACCCTGTACTCCACACCTAGTACTCCTGACTCCATCCTCCAGGTCTGCGCTCCGTACCACCACAACAATAATACCACCAGTGCCCAAGTATGTAGGCAGTATCTCATAATCCCATTCACTAGCACTGGTGGCGGCAACCCCCAGGCAGGCGCAAGACAAGGCTGAAAACCCCCTTCCCCTTCTAACCCATTACATACATTATGTTGAATTTACATTACACGGCATCGTATCGCTTCGTATCGCATCGTATTGCATTGCATGAGCGAGGAGGAATTCACCGCATCAGGAGGTTGCATGCATGCCTTAGGTACGGATGAAACATAAGCTGACGCGATGTGATTAGTGGTGGGTATTAGGAGGCCCCCGAGGTTCCTATAGACCTTAATCCATCTGGCACCCACTTGTATTTTAGGGATTGGGGAGCCTAATCAAAAGATGTTCGCTGGAAGGACGATCACGATGGTCAGCAGTGTTGTCGTTCTCTTGGACTGGGCCTTGACCCCGGTCTTTATTTCTGCGGATGTACATAACAGTCTTCTGGGGGGCATTGACAGTCACAGGCTGAGTCCTGGCAACACTAATCCCGGCGGGAGCGAGATGATACGAGGAGAGTATAACGTTGTCTTAGACATGAGTGCTATATATGTCGTTTCTATACTATGGGGCTAGTTGAACTTGGGTCTTCAAGGCGCTGGCTTCGAGCTTTCTCGTTCAAACACAAATCCCAGCTCTCCGAGCCGATATCTCTGGTCACATGCATGGAACAGAATGTATCCGTTGAGGTAATTCTCCCAAATGTCCACGAGAACTTTCTCTCCTTTCAGCCCTCGCCGAATACTCTCCGTCAACTTCACAACCTCACAGCACAGATTCCTGAGCACCTCCAGGGGTGTTTTGCCCTCACATCTCGCGCGGTTCTGGATGTAGGTGTTCTCTTCAACCCCGACATGCAGATCCACGTTCTCCTTATAAAACGACAGAATGTCATTCGTGAAGTCGATCCAATCCATCATATCCCTCATGCAGACAAAGTATTTCCCCAGATACTTGTCCTCGGGGACCAAGTTCGTCGGGAACATGAAATGCGCGTAGACTTCCCCCGAACCGGCTTTGTCCCTCAGAAAATGCGCTGCTGTCGACGGAATACACGAGAAAGGGTCTTCCCGAAGACCATGTGGGAAGCGCGCCTCGATTATACTTCCCATTAGGAATTCGACGAAGCCCTTCTGGATGGCGCCAGTTGCGTATGGCCCGTAGTGCAAATGAGCTTCGGAAGCGACGAGATCGGACCACAGGAGGAGACATGGTTCCGAACAGGTACTGTTCGATTTTGGACGAGCGGAAGTAACAGGCTTACACAGCTTCTGCAGTTCCGGGAGGATTTTTTGAGGGTCTTTGACAACAAGGTCGTCAATATAGAACAGGCATATAGTATACAATGTAATGAATGTCTTGATTTCGATGGAAGCTTGCGAGTATTGTTTCTGAGTACCACTAGCGACGGTCGGAAGGAGTTTGAAGCAATGAGCGGTACGCTTGTCGTCGAGGTTCCAGGACAAGATTCGGTTGCGGGCTATCTGGTCTAGCTCTTGAGGATATGGATCTTCATATTGTTGCAAGTCAAAGCCGATGTTTCGGAAGAAGTTTCGTAGAATCTTTGCGGTCTCTGCCTTCTCATCTGTTTGAGTAGCGGGGCGCGAACGCAGTGAATGCTCGGAAGGGCTATTCAATAGGAGAGGTCCTTCCTCGTCTGTACTCTCCCTGCTTTTTCTGGCCATCTTGTAGAGAAAAACAGGTGCAAGGACAATAGGCAAGCTCGAATAGAAGCTGGGCATGAGACTTGGCTTCTCGAGGTTGCTTTCTTTCGGGCGTGAAAGTTGCCATGTCGAAGCCGGACGGCTGATCCATACAGCCTTTATATAGTCATGTTGAAGCGCACCTCAGCTCTGGCACCGACCTCATATTCAGCGCGAGGCTGAATACTATGCAAAGACCGGGTACTTGCCGCTCTCCTTCTGGTTGCTTGATACTGGTCAAATATTCCATTCAATCATAATTGAAAGGCGTCCACAGTAATTTCGCCCACCATGGTCTTCCTCGGAGGTATTTGACAATAGCAGACAATACTCTGCAAGATTCATGGCAAATATTAGCTCTGACGTGAGCTTGATATTGCAGCAGATCTTCGAGAGCCATCGCAAAAGGACGAACCCGGATGACAGGATCAGTTGGCAGCTCCCCACGCACCAGACATAACAGTATGGGACGCCTGGGGCCCCAAAGGGCTATTCCTAGCGTCGCTCCTGTCAACGCGACTATGCCTTGTCAAGGACTTGCCTATATGGCTTCGAGATATAGTCGAAGAGGAGACAAAGAACACAGTCGGTATTAGGGTATGGCGGATCATTCACCTTTCCACAACCGGGATAGCTCCTGCTGCTGTTTGTTAGGAAGGAGCAGTTAAGTATTGTAAGACCTGGCAAAAGATCCTGAAGAAGGTATTCATTTCCCCTATGCATCGTCGAAGGATCGATCAGGGCAGACATAACACATTTGTGCGGAACAGGTCCGGCGTTATTGTCCGGCGTTATTGCCCGTTCCTTCCATCGAGGCCCTACAACCATTAGCGTGGACGCCTGAACATGATGACGGTCGGACCTGTGTCGACGGCACGACCATTGATCCGAGTCTGCAAAAGCTCCAATACGGGCTTTCACCGTTGCTGCAGGGCTTGTGCGAGGACGTACGAAGTGCCCGGTTTCGAAGGCAGGCCAGGATCATGATACCCAGAGTACATTGGTTCTGCTTTCCGGACGGCTACTTCGACAGTGACCCGTACCAGAGCCCTTGCAGATCCTCAACGTGGCGCTGATCACACAAGCTATCTAGTATAAACCTGTTTATATATAAACTTGGCGATGAGTATCTCTGCCAAGTATTAAGCGAAGTTACAAGTACTTAGTAATTCCGTAGCGCATGCTGACTACGAGGATGGAAAGAAAGAGCCACGTGGAATTTCCAATCTTGAATTCCGCAAGACATCTTGAGACCGCAATCCTCGAGGGTTGCAGCTCACCTCCCACATGATGAAACAGTGTCATTTCGAGCTTCCTCACTTTAGTCCACTCGAAGCATATGGTCCACTGCTGTTGTGAACCACAGTATCCGGCTGGTTACAGGATGTGACCAGGTCGACAAGGCTCTTTTGTATAAGGCCGAAATTCCGTTCACCTGTGGAATACCCCCTGACAATGTAGCCGTCGACCTGCAATGAGGCCGCCTTCTGTGCTATCTCGGTATCAATGGCCTTCACTTGGGCTGGCTCCAAGCCGGTAATATTGGGATCAGTCAGATTTTTCAGAGCCATGATGACGACCCCGGGATCAGTCTGAACCCTGAAGGAGTCCGAGACGTAAAAATATTGAGCCCATCTTCGCCCCCTTTCGCCAGCTGCGCGAAGTGGTACCTTCTCGTCAGGGTAAAGCGCTCGCAGCTCGCCGCCGGTTGTACGGAGCGCCCTCCCGAGGAAGGCTGGCGGCTCCTCGACAAGGGTGAACTCATAGAATGGAGCGGCACCTATCCAGCGCCGCATCCGCGTCTTCACTCCGCTGCAATGCAGGCCGCTAGATCTGAGTGAGGTCAAATCGTCACGAGGCGCCTTCCAGTCGATAAGTTGAAGACTGCTTGAAACGTTCTTACTGGGAGATACTTGAAGTACCCGAATGCTGTCGGCTAAATTTGGCTGACCGGTCAGCTATTCTACTAGTAAGGGTAGTTCACAATGAAGCAGTGTTCGGCGCGGGGTTTGTCGAAAAGACATGGCAAGTCATCCATTTGTTGGCAACTGTCAGAGGCTTTTCTCTCGCTGGACCCATCACTGACCAAGCCCTATCTATTTACCCCTAGCCTTCTGCGGTGATGCCACTAGCACTCTAACTTTCTGCGCCCACATGTGTCAAATATGGACGATCCCAAAGTACTGGCGGGTCATCCGGAGCGATCGGACCTCTTCAACCACCATTCGACGTTTTGGCTTGAGAAAAGATGTGACTGTATTGTTGGCCCAGTTGCTCGTAAGATATGCTGATGATAATCTGCAGCCGATAGCTCGACTTCCACTGGAGCGATTCGGCTCCCTCGTGGCTGTTGACAGCAGAAAGATTACAGAGGGACAAAGTGTGCTGAGCAAAACCAAAAGCATGTTAATAAACTTCCTCCAAATTGTTGTTTGCTTGTTTGGTCACGGCATAGCCAGCGAACTGGCCGACAATTCCAGCCTTAACTGGTGCATTTCTGTTTGCAGCGGCTTGCTCAACAACACTCACGCCTGACGAGACGGGCGCACATATTTATGAGATAATACTGCTTAGATCCGTAGCGATTGACAGGAATTTGGCCACATCTAGCTCGGTAAAGCAATTTGTTCGGAGTCTGTATGGATATGTGGATCTAATGGAGAGCCCCAAAAAGTGCACCAAGTTTAGGGATAAACAAAATCCAAGAAGTTTGTACACGAAGCTTAGCGAGGCTGCTGTCGCTCACTTTCGTGGTCAACCTTGGCATGAACTTTTGCACCATCTAGAGACGAGAACTTTAGCAGAAAGTCCTTTCCTACTTCTCAATGCCGTCGCCGTGCTAGGCGCTCGTTGCCCTGGCTGCTGCCTCTTGGGGGGTGGTGTTGGTGGTGTTGCCCTGTCGGTGTCAACCGGAAACGCGTTCTCGATTCCCGATCTGCTGGACAGGCCTCTGTGCGTTGATTCACGTACACGCCGAACCCTGAAGTGCTCTGTTACAATAGCAGTACTAGATGAGAACAAAACATACCCTAAGCAGCATGAGCATAGCCGGGAGTACTTTTGCAGGGAACCATAACCAAACCCCTAGGTCCCCAGTTTTTGAAGTTTCACATCTTCGGAAGGGCCAACTTCCAGGCCCGCTTGCTCGGTTCATTGTTGCCAGAGCGCCCTCAGGGCCGCTTTTTTGGCCGCGCTGCTGTCTTGAAGGACATACCCCCTCGTAGTGTAGACGTTCGCCTTGAGCCTAGGGGTTATTCGAAAGTTGTTGGTCGCATGTGTAATTATGTAAACCTTATGCATATGTCGGGGAGAACTGCTCTAAGCGTTCGCCTCCTGTGCTCATTTAGGCGCCAGTGTGACTGCTTATCAGAGAAGGTGATAGGCAGATATCATTCTCTGGAGCATCTACCGAGTAGCTAGGACTAAGAAGCTCAGCCACATTAGCGTCCCCTTCACATCAAATCGGACTAAACACGTTCCAGCAGGGTGCTCATCAGTAATGCTGTTGCACGTATTAGTAGGGGTCGCAGTAGCATTTATGAACAAAAGCATATCTGCCTTGCCACACCTTGCAGGTTTCGAATAGGGCATCAGCAACAATATAGGTGGTTCCTAAAGAACCTGTCGATATAAAATAGGTTAGACTTTGCATTTAATAGTAACATGGTGAGAATAGGTCCTGTTAGGTCCTGTTCTGGCTCCAGTTCTTGTAGTTAAGGTGAAGCCTGGGTTGTGTACTTATAAGATGTCAAGGTCAGAGTGGTCAAGTTGATTAAGTAAATGGCTCCCATCTACTCTGTCTGATCAAGTGCTCTGTCTCGTCTACTCCTTTTGCGAGTTCCTTCTGTTTATATAGAAATGTGGCCTGTGTCAGGAAACAGGTTCCTGAATCTGCCTTGCACGGCGAACACCGTTCTAGATGCTCTATCTATGACTCCGTGATCGTTCGTGAACGCCCTAGCTGAACGCTTCAGGGTCTGGCTCTAGCTACTACCGGGTACTATGACCACAGTGGCAAGCCTTGGCTCCCCTAGCGCTGACCTCTCAGTATCACAATTAACAAGTGGACCTCCGGGAACCTCTTCCGATGACCCCGTGGCCGGAAGTTTCCTTTCGTCCCGGACGGGAGGCTGTGTCGAAGGCTATTTAAGCCTCTCTACCCACCCTTCCCCTCCTCTTGTCTCCTTCAGAGACAGCCCACCAACCAAATAGATAGCTAGATAGGTAGCCAACACTCAGTGATATCGCAGCCAATCCCCACCATTGCGGTGGTTCCCTCTTGTTCCTCGTTAATTCGATACGACACTATCCTCAGGCCCCTAGACTGCTTTTAGAGTACATCTACAGACATGGATATTGCGCGGCAACACATCGAGACCATTCGGCACGATCTTTTGGGCGGCCCCAGTTCTGACCCCAATAGCAGATTGTTTAGTGTTTTGACGGGTGCCTTGGAGATGTGCGATATCATTGCTCATGCCCACTTGGAGAAGCTAACATGTGCCTAGAATATCAAAGAAAGTCCACCACAAGGATTGCCATTTCCTTAACGAACTCATTCAGAACTTCGACGACACGGGGTATGAGGAAGTCGACGAGCCTACAGTCAAATTCACCCTTACCGACACACATTTCCTTGCCTGGTCGAATGAAAACGGCTTCAAGCGAGAGGATGTAGACTCACTCTGTGCTATCGGACGTAGTTCGAAAGCGAGTGACCTGGAAAGCACGGGAGAGAACGGGATTGGCTTCAAATCCATTTTTAAAGTGGCTGATCAGGTCACGATTAAGTCTCACCCATATTCGTTTACATTTGACACCGCTTCTGAACTTGGACAACTCGGCATGCTGGTCCCTACCTGGGTGGACCAACCGACCGGCCCCAAGGACGGAACCCTACTCACTATTCGGCTCAAAAATCAAGACGGAATCCGAACGGCACTGTCTGATCAGCTCAAGAATTTCGACTTCTACTCATTGCTATTCTCGAGAGTGTTGCGAAAGATTAAGATTGTCCAAGTTCGAGGAAGCTTCACTACGACTGAGGCTTCCTTCAGAGAGCATGGCGAATCAATCACCGAGCTTGTTATAGAGAGAAGCCACGGGCCCCGTACTATAGAACGTTTTATCATCCGGAACCACAGCGCTGAATCAAAGACCAGAGTAGACACTCGCAAGTGGCCAACAAACATTCGGCTCGCCTTTCCTGTAGTAGGCGAAAACGATAAAGGACCACATCAAAAACGCCAGCAAAGTTGTCTGACGTACGCATTTCAGGGCATCCAGGACTTTGGATTCTCTGTAAGTGAGCAGCGTTGACTTTGTTCAGCTTCATACACTGGAAGGCTAACTAAAAAGTTCATGATCCACTCGGACTTTATCTTGGACGCCAGTCGAAGCCACGTTGAGCCTGACCAGGCATGGAACATCGAGCTCGAAAGTCACATTAGCACGAGCATTGTTGAAGCCTTGACCTGGTTGGCACGAGACGCCCAGTCGCCAATCCCGCTGCAGTGGCCCTTTTACCTCAATTGCCTAGAACAAGTCCGTGACAGATATTTTCAGCGAATTACCTCAAAAGTAAAGAAAATGCTTTGCAGCTTGAAATTGGTCAGGATGGATTTAGAAACCTCTGCTGGTGTTACACGTCCATTCGGCCGTCCGCGAGAGGCCATTATTGTTGACAATAGATTTCGACAAGACGGTCGTCCCCTGCTCGATCACCCCGATGACTTGGGCACTTTTGTCAGCAGCAAGTACGCTCCGCAGGCTCTAGATAGCCTGAAGATACTGGGCGTCTATCAGATGGATTACCATTACTTCAGTCAACGATTCGCTGGTATGGTTAATCGGGACCCCACATATATTAGAACGAAGTCTAGCCGATGGCACTCGGTAGTTGCGACGGTTCTCCTACGACACCCTAGCTACCCACAGCTGAAGCAGGTTCTCAAGTCTTCCGCAATTGTGCCTCTCAATAATGGGGCCTGGAGGGTGCCGACACCTGAAAATACCTTTCTTCCCAACAAAGCTGCACCGCCAATACCAAGCGGTTTCTCTATATGCACGGTTGCCTCGGAGGCTAGTGAAGACACATCACGACGTCGACTGTTTGAGGTGCTTGGTCTCCGCAAATGTGACTTCAGCGACGTCCACAAAATCATCCTAAAGAAACATCAAGGGAGCCAATTCTGGTCTCATGCGCAATTGTTGGAACAAGCGGTATATCTTTTCCTTACTGGATACAAGCCAAGAAATTTACCATTCACTTTCATTAACTCAAGAGACATACCCATATCGAGCGAGCTAGTTTTCTTGTCTGAGTCGAGGGCCACATCCCTTCGACCCTTATTCGAAGCGGATCTGAACATCTCCTGGTTGCACGAGGACTATTACAGTCCTCCTAGTATTGACGCAGGTCTGAGGGTGGAATGGTGGAGTTGGCTGCGTCAGTGGAAAAATATATTGGATGATGTGCCAGTCATCAGCACCAATGGCCAATTATCGACGGCATTCAAAGGCCTATACGACCGCTGCGGCTCCGGCAAGGCGCTGGACTTTCTTCGACAGAATTCCAACCTGCCATTGACCAACTCAACTTGGTGCAACAACGTAGGCAAACTGGAAGTATCAACCACAGATGGGCCTCGAAAACTCTGCGAAACTGCATTGCCCATTCTCCACGAGGAAGCTGGTGGTATGGTGCCGCTTATCAGCCTCGAACCATCAGATGCCGACTGGTCTTTCTTGAAGCATTTTGGAGTGTGTGTCTCTGTTGACAGGAGATTTCTCTTCTATCAACTGAGTTATCTCAAAGCCAATAAACATGTAACAGACCCGCTTGCTTCAACAAGACAGATCTATTATCGTCTCGGAAAGCTTATCGCAAACGATTTGGAAATTTCAAAAATGAGGCACGGGCCCTATCCCCTGCAATTCTGGAACAGAGACTGACCTCTTGACAGGTATGCCTTTGGGGCCGCAGATCTCATTTTGGCGCAGGATGGTAAGTGGTACTGCGCGCATCAAGTTCGATGGGATTCAAAGTTTAACTGCACTCTTTATCCCCTGCTACGAGATCAGTACAAACCTTGTCGGCGTTTATTCTGCGAGGTCCTGGATATAAGATCCACCGATCTGGTCGATCTGATCGCGGAGATACGTAACCATTCCGACCAGTTTTCGGTCAAATCGAAGCAAAACGCAATTATAAGAACTATGCGCAACCTTCTACAAAATCTAGACGGCATGCTGAAGATCCGCCCATCCTCCGAGAATGTGTCTAAACTCAAAGCTCTGGAGATGTTTCCCATTGCGACCCATAAAGGCCAATGGACACTACAATCTGCTGATTCCGGCGAATTCTGGATTCCAGATATCTCTGTGTTGCACGAATGCTTCCGGGGTCACGCACCACTGCTTGATCTAAGCGATGACGGAAATGGAGCCAATATAAGCAACATCGTGTCCGTGCTTAGTCTGAAAAGCAAACTTTTGACGGAAGCAGTGAAGTATTATTATGATGGGAATACGGAGAAAGGCAGAGAGTATCCCGAGTTAGAACGGGATTTGGAAAGGAAAGCAGCTTATATCGGAGGGTACGCGTGACATTGACTTTGTCGATTACTGCTGACTATGCCAGAATACTGAAAGGCGAAGGCCAATCCCTAGAGCAAATTACGGTTCGCGTAAACCAAGTGAGAAATATCAAAGCCCTTCGGATGCCACAGGTTATTATCGGAAGATACGTGGTTGGTAAGAGTTCGGCGTACGTGGGTGAACAAGTAGAAGGCGGCTTGCGCATCATTACCAAAGAGCAACGCCTGCTGGTTCTTGTGCATGAAAACCTGAAACAGGACGCAATGGCTCGTCTGTTAAGGAAAGAGATGGCCAGGCATCTTGAAGTCAGCCAACATAGCGACTTACTTGGTGACCTCCTGGCTGCAGATGATCCAGAAAGCCTACTAGAAGACCTGCAGCGAGCAGGAGCATATCAAATGCACTTAGCGGACGTGCCCGCAGGCGAAAGAACTGATGCTTCAGAAGAGGTCGATAGTGATGGTGATAGTGACAGCGACGAGACAGCTTTGGAAAAGTCATCAAACGTGAGAACCGACAGGCAGCAACGCTTTCCAGTCTCACCCGAAGGAACACATGATGGAGAGTCTGATGTGGAAGACGCGCAATGGCGGCTCAATTATTTCCACTACGGCAAGAGCTCGAAGGAGTTATCCGAAAGTACTGGGTACAACAACTATATCGAAAGAACATCTCCTGCGCCTATAACGGCGATCACAACGCCCTCAATCCGCTCTACATCGAACATGTTGCGAGGCAGTTTAGTGAAGAGAGGGCTGGGCTCTGCCGACAACAGCAGCGTCGACTTTTTGGCTTCGGCGCTCGCTGAGGTCTCCGTGGCGGACGATGGCCCAGGCACGAGCATATCACAGGACCCTCCAGGATTTGCCGGATCAGCCACACAAATAGAAGATGCTAGCCCAGCCGCGAGAAACCCACGACTGATGACCAGCAGAGAAGAGCAAAACTCTCCGTCGCCCAGGCAAAATCTAAACGGCACCAACAGACGTAGACTATCTAGGTCGCTTGGCCAACCCCTAACTCCATCAGCACAGGTGTGGCGTGGATCACTTCAACATCTTCACCAACGTTCATGGAATGGTGGTTCTAGCCCTTCTCAGCCAGGCTCATCGTCAGAACGGAGAAAAGAGATCGGTAGAAAGGGAGAGCACATCGTAAGCCTGCCAGACACGTCTTCTTGACAAAACTAACTGAAAAGCAGTTGTACACATTCTTGCAAGGAGAGCTCGGTCCATCGTTTGGCGAGAAACACTGGACCAGCAATGGTCGCAAGCACTATATCCCAACTTGTCTCGATCACTACCCGAGCCTTTGTCCCCCAGGATGTCGCAACTACTACTCTATCGACGAAGGAGGGCGCGCGGACTTCACAATTGGAGATTCAGATGCGAGTCAGGCTTTTACGCAGTATCTGAGAGCTAACTGGGGATGGAATAGAAGCGTGGACAGCAACACGAAGTACCACCTCGAAGTCAAGTCAACGCCGAATCGCGTTGAGAATGATACTTACTGGACCCTCAGCGCCAATCAGATTCGGATGGCACGGCAATGGTCAGTGGATCTAGTCACTGCGTCTGAGCCTTTACGCCACGTCTATGTTCTTGTGAGGGTCTTCGACGTCGACGGTGAGCCTAGACTGTGGTTTGTCGTTGATCCATGGGCGTCGACGTCTCTCGATCTGATATCGGAGGTCGCACAGAGGCCTGCCTACGCCCTCGAAAGCGATACTTTGGCATTAGCAGTGGGCTATGCTCAAGACTGGGCTCACCACATCGATCTGCCCGCACCTGAAAAAGCGCGAGGGCGTTGTGCTCCAGGTTCATTTCCCGGCGCTGTCGGACAGAATGCAAGAGAAGATGCATCAAACGAGCCATTCGAGCTAACTTTCGCAGTTCCGCCGCTCCCCTCACCACAGAGCGCTGCAGTCCCAACCACCAAATGTAGTAGCTTCGAACCGTTCGTGGAACGAGACCCCAGCGGCTATTCGATGGCTTACCAGTCAATTCCGTTTATGGACAGTTTTAAACACTATTCTTTCGAGGAACTCAGGCTTGCTGATCATGAAATGGAGTCGTATATTTCGAACCCCAGAGGGCAACGGCTGGAACAGGCTCGGTGATCTATCGGAACACAAACCATCCACACAATCACGCTCAGGGATCGAAATCGAGATTTTCGGTTGTAGCAGGTAGGCCACGATATACATTCAGTGTATGACACCTTCAAACCCAAACTTTGCTGCTTTCACAGTCCTCCTTACTCTGAAAGCTGGGCGGATAGAACTCTTCAGTAACCCATGGCCTAATACAATACGTCTGAGTCCTTATTCGTACTGTCGCTGATGACAGTATTTCCATAGTCTTAAGTCGAAGACACTGTCCTCGGGGACCACGGTGACTCGTATATTGTAACAAGGCGGCGTGGCTGTGCTGGACTGGTGGTGGACTGGCAAGGCAGAGGTCTGTCAGGTCGCATGTCAAACCTAATTAGATCGCTGGGAGAAGGACAGTTGACAGTGCTATCAGAGGGCCAAATTCTTTGGACAGTTTAGTAGAGGATCATGAATTCGCTCTTTTGGCATAGTCTACCTAATTCCTAAGTGCTTTATCAGTCCTGTCCTGTTCCCCGATGCCTCCGCTGTGCTAGGTGTTCGTAGCCCTAGTCGCTGCCCTTCTGGGTGGTGTTTGTGGCGGTGTTGTCTTGTCAGCATCAACCAGAAAGGCGTTCTCGATTCCCGATCTGCTGGACAGGCCTCTGTGCGTTGTTGCACGTGCATGCCAAACCCTGAAGTGCTCTGTTACAATATAATCGGTCCAGAGCGCAAGACAATTGCCCTGTCACCTCTGAGCGTCTACGCCAGTTATCTCCCCGTAGCTGCCTTGCATTAGCACCAAAGTAAGCTCTCAGAACCAACGAACGACTTACTTTCCAATGCCATTAGGAATGCTTCAGAGAGTTTAGCAGAGGCGACGCTTTCTGCTGGTAGTAATGTTAGAAGCGCTTTGTCCTACCATCTTAGGGGTGGGGGCATAGACTAAGGACTGCATAAATACGTTAATACATGCATATCGTAAGCAAATCCCTGGATATACCCAGGTATGCAACTATATAGAAAGCCAGTAGTCGGTGGAGAGGCCACACCACACACCTACCCACACACACAGAGACACGAAGAATACAAAGATAGGCCCGACCCGCTCTAATTGATATGATTATCCACATCCACCAGACCTCACCCTCTCTGCATACTCAGACGTCCATGAACACGAAGGGCGGACTGTAGTTGGACCTTGGTGGCGTATACACATACGTAAGACCGCCAGGCGAGATTCCGAAGCCCCCATTCATTCATTCCTTTGTCATCAGCTACAGTAAATATTTTTACTGCCTAGCTACCGAGTACTCTCTTGTCTAATCAAGTATCATGGGGATCCATCCCTCGTATCATGGTCAGACATTAGACGGGGTGCAGCGCACAACCTCACTGCGTGATGCATGTAGGTATCGATATGTATGCTCGGGAGGGACCACGGCGGCCCGAAGAGAGTCATACGACGTGGCACTTGTAGTCTGGCTGATGCATGCCAATACCCATGTCTGTGTATGGGGCGAAAAGTGCAGGATCCGCTGTATGATGTTCGTTCGTAATCCATACCTACATAGTCTAAACCCATAGGTACAAACTAATTGCTTGCTTAGGGTAGGAGCCGGATACCGATTGTATTGTCTTTTCAGTATGCAGTTCTTGACTCCTTCCCTGACGAAATAGCAATCATATCCCGTTCTTTGTCTAAAACCTCAAGTCCCACCCGATGCCTGGACCCAATCTGGGTAGTTCATCCGCCACACTCTGGACGTCCTTGTCTCCACGTCCACTCAGGCAGATCACCAGCGTCTGATCCTTGCCCATCTCCTTGGCGACCTGCATGGCTCCAAAGATAGCATGACTGGATTCCAGCGCAGGAATGATTCCTTCCGTCTCACTGAGAGTCCGGAACCCTATCAGCGCCTCCGAGTCGGTGGCGCTAATGAATCTGGCTCTGGCGCTGTCCTTCCAGTTTGACAACTCTGGTCCCACGCCGGGGTAATCTAGACCGGCGGAGATGGAGTGTGTATCGCTGATCTGGCCGTGCTCATTCTGCAACACGTACGTCCTGACGCCGTGAAGGACACCGATTGACCCTCCAGAAAGCGTGGCAGAGTGCTTGCCCGTGTCGACACCCTCGCCAGCAGCCTCAACGCCGATCAACTTCACTGAAGGATCGGAGCTGAAGGGAAAGAACATGCCCACGGCATTACTTCCTCCACCAACACAGGCGATCACTGCGTCGGGAAGTCTGCCTGTCAGTTCTTTCATCTGTTCCTTGGTCTCTTGGCCGATGACGCTCTGGAAAGTACGGACGATGGTTGGGAAAGGGTGAGGACCAATGGCCGAGCCGATAATGTAGTGCGTGGTGTCGAGGTCGACAACCCAAGCACGTAATGCTTCATTGACGGCGTCTCGGAGAGTGCGGGATCCAGCTTCCACTGCCACAACCTTGGCGCCGAGAAGTTTCATGCGAAAGACGTTGAGAGCCTGACGCCGCACGTCCTCGGCACCCATATACACGACACAGTCCATGCCAAATTTAGCGCAGACGGTTGCAGTTGCGACACCGTGCTGGCCCGCACCGGTCTCGGCAATGATGCGTGTCTTTCCCAGTCGCCTTGCAAGAAGGATTTGCCCCAAGGCGTTGTTGATCTTGTGACTTCCCGTATGATTCAGGTCTTCCCGTTTCAGGTAGATCTGCGCACCACCAACTCGTTCGGTGAGCCGGTCAGCTAGATGCAGTGACGATGGCCGACCCATGTATGGGTAGTATGATTTGTACTCTTTCCAGAACTCTGGATCGTTCTTGGCTTTTTGGAAACCCTCTTCGAGTTCGGCTAAGCAGTCCATTAACGATTCGGGAACATATTGGCCGCCAAATTGGCCAAAGCGGGCCGGAATGGCATCAGGATTGGGAGCCGTGCCGTTTGTAGAAGCGTTGAGGGCATCAAGCTGGTCGGCAAGGCCTGGTTCGGAGGGGACGTCGGCGTCGGTAATGACTTTGTCGACGTGGACTTGATGGCCATTGAGCCCATTCGACGCTGCGTTTGGTTCTTTTGCTGACTTCATGGTCTCGACAATACCCACTTCCCTCGCTAAACCATCTGTTTTATTGTAGTCGCCCACTTTCCTCCCAGTGATTTGGGAGCAATATTCTTGAACAGCCTTCGCCCGCTCACCTTGCTTCGCATTGCCCAACACTATCACGATCTGGCTGCCGATCACCACTCCCTCGGCAATTTGCGCAACACTCAGGAAATGTTCTCTCGTGCTCACACCAAAGCCGACCGCTGCAGGGACACCGCCCGAGTATTGATGCACCCTCTCCAACAGCTCAGGAAGCTTGGTGTTCAACGTGCCTGTCGCGCCCGTAACACCCATCCTCGACACGACGTAGATAAACGAGTCCGCAATCTGACACAGCAATTTCATTCTCTTCTCCGATGTCGCAGGCGCAATCAGCGGGACATAACTGAGTCCCGTCTTGGTGCAATTATTGCGAAATCTTACAGCTTCCTCGGGGGGCAAATCAACCATGATGAATCCGTTCACTCCTGCCTCTTTGCAATCTTTCAACATGCGGTCTTCGCCGTACCGCAGTAGCGGGTTATAGTAACCCATGAAAAGGACGGGGATCTTGAGACCTTTTTTCCTGGCGTCGCGGACAAATTGGAGGGCTGAGGTGACGGTAATGCCATTGGCGAGGGCGATGGTGTTTGATTTTTGTATCGTGGGCCCATCAGCGATGGGATCTGTGAAGGGGAGACCGAGCTCAATGACATCTGGGGAAAGTGTTAGATACAATATTTTTGACTCCCTGAAGGGAGGGTTGATCTTTACCGACACCACCGGCTTGCAGACCGAGCATGATATCTGGAGTTTCTTCAGCGGTGGGAAACCCCGCCGTGAAATAGCCCACGAGGGCAATTCTGCCTTCCTTCTTGCATCGGGCGAATGTCTCTTTGATGGCCTCCATGTTGAATATGAGAGAAGTGAGGATCGAAAGCGAGTGGTTTTTGGAGGAGGGAAAGAAGAGGGGGGCCAGGAGAATTTATAGACTCTAACGACGAGATGGCTCGATGGATTGTTGAGTCACTGAGATAATTTGGATTGGACTCAAATATGACCAGGTAGAAGCTAGCGGATCCCTGCGTCTCAAGCACGAGGCACGATTGTGGTGGTATGTAGGAGGTCAACCACTTCGAGAACCTAGGGCTTCTCTGTTCGCGTTGTTGCACACCGTTTTAGTTGCGGTGGCGGGCACAGTCCCCGGTTGCGGGCCAAAGAAATTTTGCCGCAATCATGCGCTAGAGAGCAGCAAAGAGCAGCTTGTCCCTGCATAAGAGTCGAGTTCTAGCCCCGCCGAGACCGGCCCGCGCCCCCTCCTCAGCCTTGTTGAGCAGCCTTGTTGAGCAGCCTCGTCGATCAGCCTCGTCGATCAGCCTCGCCAATCAGCCTTGCTGTGACCAACGACTCCATATTTGTCCAACAAGTAGCTCTGCTGTCCCGTTTGATCTACCTGGAGGTATGTAGTCAGACGAGCAAGGCAGTTGGATTTGCCGTGTTGAATCCAGTTCTCTCTGCATTGTACATAGGATAGCCTAATGGGCATGTCTCGGCGGCGGCTAATGCACTCGACCCGCATCCGCTCCATGTCCACAAACAGCTCTCCCTTGCAACGAGCAGAATCATGTCCAAGAAAGTATAAATTGCCCCCTCCGACCTTCAAGCTATCTATGACTCATTTCATCTCGCTTCTTGGCCGCCAGCACCATGCTCGTCGACTCCTCCGAGATAATTGAGGCGACTTCATTGAAGTATTCGTTCACAGCTTACCAGTCTATCCCCCTGGCGCGGTCGTACTGCTTATCGGACCGCGGCCCTGCCCGGTGTGTGCGGCCTGTTTGCGAAGCCCCCGAATGGCCTGCTTTCACTTTGGCCGTTTCATCACATCCTCCATATCTTGCAGAGTCTGGACATGGGCCAGCTTGGGCTTGACCACTCCGACCTCCTGGACCTCCTCCGCCATGCCGCTCTCAACGTCTTCGGGAATCACCGTCACAACCGCCTCGACAACACTGTCCAATTGCTTCACTTTTTTCCTTCTGTCCCATATCTCCATCCCCTTGGTGATGCAGGCTGCTATCAACACAAGCACAGAGTTCACAATTGCGCCCCACTGCCCGATTGCAATATTTGCCTCATTCGTCGGGAGACCCCCTTGCAACAATGTAAGTTCGTTAAACACAATGTTACACACCATGAGCGGCAAACACAAAACATCAACCACCAACCCCAGCAGCATCCATGGAATGACGAATGAAGAGAGACCTAACTTCCTCCAAGACCATTTCGATCGACGCACATACCCCAACAGCGCGAAATATCCGCCATACCACTTTTCCATGCTCGCCTTGTAAACCGTTTTCGTAAATTGCTCTCGATGGCCTGGATGAATGAGGTAGCTCATGACCAATTTCGTGCACATATGCGACGGGGTATGTTCTTGCGCGTCCATGCTGAGAGCTGCGTAGGCTGCAAACTGGATTGGTCCCACTAGCACATAGGTGAGTGTCCTGTATTGTGAATTGTCCAAGATTCGGTGGGGAATGGCCATGATTTCGGATGACTGCCTCATTGGCTTCGATATGTTAAAGCACTGGTACGTGCAATTGGCAAAGTCGGGATTCATCCACTTCTGGATGGGATACTCCAGCAGCATCCCCTTGGATGAATAACAGGCCGGCTCAGGCGGGTTAATAGGGGTGTCGAACAATTCCGCTCTCCCAAAGATCAAGCTGGTGCCCACTAAACAACCCCAACAGATCATAACGACCCGGGCCCGTGTAGCTCTCAGCGTGGAACTCCAGTGGATAATTCCAATGTAAGCAAGCGCGCCCGTAGACAATACGGCCCACGCGCCCATGATGTCCAAGTCAAAGACTCCCGATTTGCTGCTCACAAGAGCCATGAGGTGAATAGCCGTGGTGCCTGCGTAGGTGAGCGCACTGACGAGGGCGCCGATGATGAGCCATTCTGTCCTGCGACCGAAGATGGCGAAGATCAAGGTTACATAATAGAGGAGACGGGGGAGGAGCCCGTAGGTGCCGGAGATGGGATAGACGCAGTTAATTTCGGAGACTGGCCCACCGTAGCTGTTGTTGTATACTGTCTCGGAGTAGCCAGACATGATTTACAGATATGCGATCAATGGGTTGAGGTTGTGGATGAGTCGATTGAGATTTGTACTGGTGCTCGTGAGAGCTGGTCCAGTCTGATCGCATTGTCGTTGCGATTGCTGCGTCCGCACGTGCGGCGGTGTCGATAATCCGTCGCTGGCAACGGGTCAAGTGCGAAACATTTGGTGAAAGTCTCGGTGATGATGGCGACGTTATCGGACAAGCAGATAAATGAAAAGAATGAAAACGATGGACCTTGGAAGATCGAGTGGCGGAGCAACTTGGCTCCGGCCAAGTCCCTGGAAAGGTTGCAATTACCACGTTTTAAGAGCCTGGGTTGTGAGTGGAACTGGATTGGAATACGAATACGAGCAGCCTTGCGAGCCTTGACCATTGTTATTTGGCTCCAGCTTGGTGCCGTCCGTGGCTGTGGGAGGCCTATGCTTTGATTGGACAAACGCGCCTCTAGTATCGTTGCAACGGAAAGGCTCCCTACAACATGTGCCCGATATCATCTACTCAACTTCTCACCCAAGCACTATGTCCTCCCATTTCGGCCCAGGCTCGAGGGCTCTGTCCAACGCCTCTGTTAATATCCGTCCCAACCCTTCACGGTAGTATATTCCGCCCCTCTTGGAAACCAACATGAGAATATAAACGCCGTAGCTCCGCTGGTTTAACACGTCCTCCACGTCATCTGGTAATGTGCCCTCCCATATCGCCAATTCATCATCGGTAAATGAACTTACCCTTGACATGACCAAGAAATCCAGCGGCGTCCCAACACGTGGCATCCAGGCCGCATCAAGGTCAATAGTGCCACACCACAATCCATTCCGATCCGCAATGCCTGCTCTAATCAATCCAGGATCTGCGGGAGCTGGTCGTACTGTTGACAAAGCGCTAGGCCCAGTAAGCCTCTTCCTCAAGGGAGATATTACTGATTTGTGAATAAGTGCCGGCGAGGTGAGCTTGAACTGCGCCGTGACCGTTCTAAAGTGTAATAAAGGAAGCAGGGTGCTTAGATTGTGGTTCGACATCGGTCCAAGGTACGCTGGCTGGGGTATAGGTGGCGGTATCCGTTCATAGGCTTGTTTGGGGAACGAATGGATGCCAATGACCTGATCAGCATGCCACTCAATCCAAGATCGAGCCACCTCGGTGAACTTCCACTGTATCTCCCCTATCCAACCGGACCACGACCAACTCGGAAACCCGGCTCGTCGAGACAGCCTTTTCGTCGACTCCCACAGCAAAGATGGGTCCATCATTGTCTCGAGGGCGCCATAGTATATTTTATCTCCGATCCGTTTCTCTAATACCAGCTGCACTCCTTCAAAAGCGTTCAGGATATCATTTGGATTCGTCAATTCTCGTCGGGTGTATAGTTCCACCGCTGAGGTGAACTGAACAAACGGTTTCTCCCGGAAGATTCTGGTTGGCATATCGATCGAGTCCAATGACCAGCCATTGGATCGAGGCATTTCCATATCTTCGCAGAATGTGGTCCGCCGACACTGATAATATATCCGCCCGTTGACAAACAGCAGACACCGCCTTGAAAGCATTCTCTCCTGGAAAGTCCAGGCACGAGAATCCCATTGTGACGTTGAAATGTAATCTGGAAAACATGAGCAGCCATCCCTGAGCTCAAGGGTCCAACCAAAACTTACCTTCAGCAAGATGGGACACCATCAGCCGCAGGCCGGGCTTCACCTCTTCGATCTCTTGGTGGAATGTTCGGGACTCTTTTCTTACTCCCGGTAGACCGGCATTGGCGTCCTTGCCCGAACCGGCAACCACGGTCAGAGCAGCTCTGGCGTAGACCCAGTCGTCATGATACTGAAATCCGTCGTCGTGCAACAGCGCCAAGCTATCCGTCCACAGATATTTCTCTTGCAGCATCTTTGTGAGCTTGATGGCGTCTTTAATCGTCCGAGGAAGCTTTTCCTTCTCGAGCGCACCAGGTTGCGACAGTTTCGGCAGGTTTTTGGAGGTTGTAAACAGCTGGGCGAAGTTCTTGCCCCAAAGGTAGCTCAAGGCGACATAGCGGGAAGACTGGGGAGTTTCGACAATGCACATCCTGTCCACATCGATCGCGCGAAAGACGTCTTTGGGTTGTCCCAGCAGATCAGGATGTACCAGCGACTCTTCGCATTCCATGCCATGGTAGGTTTCGCAGTCGTGCAGCCACTGACGAAGTTGCTGGGGATCGAGCAGGTCAGAAGAGGCGATTCTGCGCCCAAAGAATTCTCGACTCGGGGCGTCGTCCGCAAGAAGGACGATGTATCCATCTTTGAATGCTTGAGGGTCACTATATATTAGCAACCGTCGTGTCTTAGGTTTGAATATATGTTCTCCCGGGCGATTGGGGTCGGGTCCCAGGTCTTCCTGCCCGTCTATAACCCAACGCGCGTAACACAAGGGATCATCATCAGCGTGAAGACTGGGGTTTCGTTGGTCGGAAGGACGATCGGCTATTTCGAGCACCAGTCGGCAGTGAGGGCAGTGGGTTTTATGGCGGATTTGGGATAATCTGCCCAAATATCGAGGCTTATGCGTCCTCTCAAACTCACGGTCATCTTCCTGGATGTAGAATGACTCGAGGTTCAGGTCCAGACGGAGGCAAGTGTCGCAGAGGTAGGATTCTTCGGGAGGAGTACGGTCGTCCTGCAATGCGGTTAGCGAGCCCAAACTTTGCGGAGATTGTAAGAGGGAGGAAGCGTACGCCTGCTTTGATCCAGCTCGAGGGAAGACGTCCTAGATGTCTGAACTTTTTGGTCAAGTTCAGGATCGAGGAAGGATGAGAACCCTCGGCGGGCTCAGGTGTCGACATCTGGGTGCATTTGTTTCTAGATTGCGGTAGTGGGGACCTAGAAGGTGATTGAGATGGGCTGGATGGGGAAATCGATAGGGAGAGCGTTTGGTGTGTTTGGCACCGGAGACAGGCGCTTGCAGCGGGCGCCGGATCCCTCTGGTCCCTCGCGGCTGCAGGGCGGGAGGACGGGCAGGGCTGGGAGGGGTGCAAGGCCATTCACTCAGAAGAGCCTCAGTCGGGCTGGGCAGGCCAGTGTTGAAATGGCGGGGTTATTGGGTTTGCGGTATGTCCTCAGCAGAACCGAGTCAAGGCAAGTCTAACTGCGCTGCGAGATTCCGGACACAGACCTCGAGGATTATATCTTTGCCAATACCTTCGATCTAACTGCGATCCATCACTCCATATTTCCCTCACAACCAACTAATCCTCCAAGCAGCCTACAGCCCCGATGATGGGCATGAAATCCCGCTCGAGCCCCCACGGCGCCCTCCTGAAAACCACCTTGCACACGCCCAAATCCACCGCGAATGTGGGCCCCTGGATGGGCATGGATGGGCTGGATGGGCTGGATGAGGCTATTGTGAAACAGATTCCACTGGCTGAAGCATCTGCTTGCCTTTCTCAGCTTGCTGCCGTCATTGGCCTGCGATCCCTGCCAGTGTCCGACGCCTATCACAGCCTCCAAGACCCTACAAGCTTCCTTGCTGGCAGATAAGGCCGCCCATTCGCCTCAGACAAGGCGAAACTCGTGGCTCGCCCACAATCCCTCGCCAACGGTCAACGCAAAACGGGAGCTACGCTTCGGCCCATCGCCCAGGGCAGTGGCCGCCAGAAGGGATTACACGACTTGTTACAAAGATTCAGGAGGGACCCAGTACCGCATGCGGCTTCGTGAATCTGGATTCATGGGGACCCCTGCGACGAGATGCTCTGAAGCACCGCCATCCTCTCGGATGAGAGCGCAGGCTGGCCGCATCGAGTCCACGACCGCTTAACCGAAGCATGTCCTGATTGGGGGTCTCAATCCGCTGCATTGGGCCAAATGCGGCACCGACGTCCAGGTTGTTGACCTAAAATCGCACCTGCACAGAGTTATATTTCCATGCCAATGGTGCGCAACCTGCCTACAGGTATATATGGCTTACCTTACCCCTCCAGCCGTAAGGCTCGAACAATCCACCTCTCCATGCTTTTCGACCCTGTTGTTCAGCCGCACGACAAAAGACGGCGGAAACCACTAGGTGCCAGGTATTGTTGAGCCCGACTTTTCAGAATGTGATTGGGTCCCTTCAGCCTGACCTGAGATTGCTCAACACTTCGAAGATGCGCTGGATTGACAAGTTTGGAGACTTGCAGCTGGACATTGTCGGTATCATCGCTGTGCTGGGAGAAGGGTCCATAACTCGAAATGCCCAAGTGACAAGCCTTTCCTGGTGGTCCACGATACCTAGGCTCATGCCAGCCCCTCACGCTTTGCTTGAACATGAGCGAAAATACCGACTGCCTACAGCTCCCGGGATCGTCGCCGGAGCTTACAGTGGCACAGTGAAAAAGGAAATCAATTTCTTCGCCCAGTTGCTTCATCCGGCACCTTTGGAAGATTACCAAGTCGAGCTTGTCCAGGTAACGCGAAAAGATGCGCCGCCAGGAACAAAAACGCTTCGTTCATTTGGCCCAAAGAAATATGGCCCCTTATTCTGGGTTTCCGTTGCCGGATGTGCCATGGCCCTGGCTTTGATCAGTCTCTCTGTTTATTACCACGATGGCTTCTCCTTGCTAGCTACCATCATGCTGTCGATGGTGAGCTCGTTTGTGGGCTTTGGTACTCACTGGAGTTTGGTATTCCAGGAGCCGAAAGTGGAAAAGGACCGTGGGCGCGTTATCCCTCGCTCAGATGTCATTATTTACTATCCCAATGTGAGTCCGGCGCCCTCTAGGTTGCTCCTCTTTGTTGATTGCGGGTGGTTTGGCATGGGTCCTTGTTTCGAAGAAGCATGAACCAACTCTGCAGGAAACCTCATCTCACCCGGGGTGCGATGCGGATTGACGAAGATTCACTTTGAAGATCCCCAAGCGTATACTTATGGACTGCGTGCCAGGGATCGATCCGAGTGATTCGGCCAAGCTCCGAAAATATTGCTCGCCTGTATTTTCAGACGGAACATGCACAATATGTCATTGATGGTAAGCTGCCGCTGTCATCGGAGCTGGAGAATAACTGATCTAACTCGAATTAGACACACCCTATCGTACCCTAGCTCTGTTCTCGACAGTCATGCTTATGGCGGGAGTGGTGTCTTTGGCGAACGCATCCAACATCCTTCAAGTGGCCTTCGCTGCTTCGTATATCTTGTTGAACGTCCTCTACTGGGCCGTATCTGCCCTGAACCCTTGCAAATATCACTGGCAACATGCATACCAAACAGATATCATCCCAATACAAGATCCACAGGATCAGGAACCTGACGGGCTGGTTGTGACTGGACGGGTTGAGGAATTTAAAAAGAAGGTCAGACACGAGTGGAGTCGATTCGAAGAGGCCTGGATCTTGGAGAAAAGGCGTGATCGAGCAAAAAAAAGAGCCGAAACGATTTTCGAGCAGAACCCGAAGGCAAGAAACTTCACAGGCGCCCTCTGGACTGCTATTGTTCTGACTGGCACATCCCAATGGTTGAACGAGGCAACAACCATAGCGCCTACGAACGACGCCTGGAAAAAGTGGCTGCAAGAAGCTGGCAACGAAGTCAGTACCCCGGGGAGACTCAATGATGAATGGGAGGGCCGATTCAAACCGCATCGCCGGCCGCGCATCAAAACGGGACTAGACTGGTCTTTTGCCCCAGCCACAAAAGAAAGCATGGGACGTTCTTTGCGCAGGCGCCGGATTATGATCAATAGATCTTGGGATTACCAGACACGGCTCACTGAAATCCTGAAAGATCACGCAGACAAAACGCGGGTGCCGCTCGCAGACGAGCTTGCCGGGGAAGACGTGTCTGCAGTCGGCTCCCCGGAGAAGGATCGCCTAATGCCTCTTGTAAGAGAGGAGGTGTAGGACAGGTCTGCGGAATGTCAAAACTCGACAATCTAGCAACAAAGGAAGAATGACCCGAGGGTAAGTGGTTGGGGGGACTGAGAAAGCGAATGAATGAATGGGACTGTCAGACATGGCATTCTCCACAACTGCAGCTGAAAAACTTGTTCTGAATATCCTTCAGGACGGGAGTGGCTTTTCTCCGGCGGCAAGCCAGCTTCTTTCTCTTTGGGACACTCAGCTTCAAGCCTTCCGAGTATCAGTCAACTTCAGGTTCGCACGGCAACCGCTTTGGTCGTTGATGAATGTACGGCGCATTCTGGACATCAAATGTGACTTAATTTAATAGCATGGCTCCGCTAAGTTTAATCGAACGAGATCATGATTTGAATCCCGACATCTCCATCTACCTACACAGTTCTTTGGCTACCTGATCAAGCACAACATAACGCCCCCTTTGCTGTGAACGTGCATTTTTAGACAAACACAACACAACAATCCAATTCAACCCTCGTGTGGTTGTTTAAGCTTAAAGCCTTACATGGCCCTTCGGCCTAATCACAATCAGTCAGTCAATCCGTCCTGTTCATGACGACCCTCCACGCCTTGGGCTCCACCTGGACAACAACTCCGTCCTGGTCCTCGGTAAAGACGAAGTAATCCAGCGCCTCGAAGCCGTAGGTCAGCAAGTCCAACCCCGTCCACGACTGGCAACTGCCCTGGGGGAAGAAGAGCTGCGCGTCGAAGGCGTCCAATTCCGCGGTGGAGAGAGTCTGGTACACGGCGCGCCACGCGCTCTGGTTTCCCGCCGTGAGGTTGGAAGGGTAGAGACGGATCGTGGTGTTTGCGCTTGCACCGGCGGCGCCGACGAGGGCGGCGTAGCCGGTGCTGCCGCCGAGCACGTTGACGCCGTTGGCCGAGAATGCCGACACGACGAGCCCGTACTCGTCCACCGAGAGCGTGATGCTCGAGTTGGACCCCCGGGACGAGGACGAGGGCGAGGATGGGGAGGTGTACATGCCTGAGTACTTGCGCGACGCCTCATCCTTGGCGACCTGGTCGACGCTCGGCAGGAGCGACTGGACCAGGGTCGAAAAGACGACTTGGATCGTCGCGATCGAGCTGTCCGGCCCTGCGAGGTTGACGGCCACCACCAGGTCGTAGTCCGGGACCAGCACCAGGATGGCCGTGTAGTCACCTAGGTTGCCGGTCTTGGTGTAGAAGTCTATGATGCGCGCGTCCGATGTGAGGTTCGCGCCCCGGGCGATTTCCCACGGCGCACCGACGGATACGCCAGCGGAGGACGTGAAAGTTTTAGGCTTCATCCACGCGCGGGTCTGGACGGGTGAAAGACCCAGCTTCGACGACAAGATCGCGGTGCCAAAGGATAAGAGGTCGTTGTTGGTCGAGTAGATGCCGCCCGAGCTGCACACACACACATATATTGCCCATCAGTTAGAACAGGGGTCTTCCTGGGCCGGGTCACACGTAAGGAGTGCGGAGTGCTCGTTACCTATTTTCGTATCCAAGGGACGTGCCCCACCAGTTTGATTCAGCGGGAATGAAGCCCATGGAGCTATTAGAGGGGGCACCGACGAACGTGTGGCTCATTCCGGCCGGCGTGAAGACAGCGTCTTGAAGATATGCCGCATAAGTCTTGCCCGTGACATTTTCAATCACTCGACCAAGAAGCGCGTATCCGATGTTCGAGTAGACTGGCGTCGTGAAGGGGGCGTCGACAGGAGGCCGTCGACCAAAATTGTCGAAGAAATCTAACTCATATATGTTAGTGGAACGAACGATCGACTGATTAGGTGCCAGAGGGCCAAAAACACAAACCATCCCAGCTGCACCCAGGAGTACCTGGAGCTCCGCCGCAAGAGAGTGAGTCTTGGGACTGAGTCAATGGCGGCAGGCCAGTCTCTTCGGTAATGCCAGAAATATATGGGATAACGTTATTGGTGACTGCCGATTGTTCCATGGT